TGCTGCAAATGCCGAGCGGGTTATTACATGACTTCAGCCGGGGATGTGAATCGGCAGCGTTGTATGCCATGCACTGAAGGATACTGGTGTCCAGGGCATGGAGGGGGAAGGATCGGATGCCCCGCAGGCCGAGGACTGCAGGTCCTGGTGCTGTCGACTCCGGACAGTGTGCATGCCTACCTGGAAGGTATCTGGACTCGAATGGAACGTGTCACCAGTGCCCAGGCGGAACCTATAAGCCCCACTATGGGGATGACAACAGGTGCCCCTTCAGCTGCATCAATGACGGCAGTAGCAATGAAGGCTCCGTCTCCCACTTGGACTGCTACTGCAAGGCCGGATTTAGACTCTCTTGTAACTCGCTAGGCTACATGACTTGTGCTAGCTGCGCTGGACAGGACTACGTGTGTCCGCTCAACTCCACCAGAACAGGCAGAGTCACGAAATGCCCACGAACGGCTTTTCTTGACCTAAGAGGTGCAGATTCCACGATACCTGCCAAGGACATTCAGCTGCTACGCAGGGCCACAATCAAAACACTCGGTTTGCCAGAAGCTGCTGATGTTGTAGTCGCTCTAATGGAGAGGCAGCCTACTGAAGAAGTCGTGACACGTCGGCTCGCAACGGCGACGGGTACTCAGTCGGTCAAGCTGACCGTAACGGCAGATTTTGAGGCTGTAGCGGGGTTGTCGACATCTGACGTCGCGGACGCGTTCGAGAGGGCATTCTTGGAAGCTGCAAGTGATCCTGGTATGTCGATAGACGTCGGAGAGGTCACCGTCACGTCTAGAGGAGCTGATGATGCAGAAATATATGCAGAAGCCGCTTCGCTGTATGAAAGACTATATGCCAGTAAGGCACTATTTCCTGACCTCTCTCTCTGTGGGACATATTCTGGTTCGCTTTTTTCCTCTTAGGTGGTGCTAGATGCCCACCAGGAACCGCACCAGCCACTGAGACGCCAACCTCGCTCTCGGACTGCAAATGCTCAGCCGGCTACAAACTGCGATGTCCTACTTGCGTGAGTCAGGATCCTGCCCTGGGACCAGACTGCATTGCTTGTGGCCTCGGCCAATACAAAGCAACGTTGGGTAACCATTCCGAGTGTACTCCGTGCCCTGTGCCCTTCGAGACTACCAGAGAGCTTGGCAGTACACACGTACGGCTCTGTGTATGCCGTGAGGGGTGAGACCAGGGAAGGAATGCCCCAGTTTCTTTTATCCCGTTTCGTGGCAAGGTATTATAGACTTGCCGACGGCAGCTGTGGTCAGTGTCCCGAGGAGCACTATTGCAGTCATCATCCAACTGACCTGACAGCATCCCCTGTCCCAATACCCTGCCCTGTTCATCGAGTCACTATCGCCACCGGCAGCAGCAGACCATCACAGTGCGTCTGTGATCGAGGCTTCGGCATGGGTGATGGTCGAGAAGTAAGAGCCCATACATTAAGGGCACTCCATTTTTGATATCAGGCTATTGCCGACCACCACATTCCGAGATCTGAGTGGAAGTTCCGCTTGCTTATCGGTGACACGTCAGCTGCTCTCAATACTACGCCTCATCTGTGTATCACACCAGCTGAGTGTAGCCCTCCAGTATCTCTAACTCCCATCACAGGAGGTGCTCTCAACACGCTTAGCATTGCTCACTGCCACGTTGCTTCCACGTAGGAGCTGAGTGGCGATGGATCCTCGGTGTTCCATCGGTCGCTGTCGACAGAGTGACACTCCACATGAATGAGAGCTCCATCAGGGCCGAGTCCTATGGAGAGCTCCTCACATACGCAAGGTATGGAAAAAGTCGATACTCACCCGTCTCTCCACATTATTTATACTGGTTGGGCAAGGCTACGACTTGTGCAGTTACTTCTGCAAGTCATCACTCCAACCGTGCGCTGCATACTGGACAACCATCGGTCTCTGGGAACATCGTTCCCTCATGACATCCGGCGTTGTGGACCTCATCCTTGTTCGAGGATCGGAAGGAAATACTTCAAGTCTACAGACGTCGATGGATGGTAGCGACCTGTCTGGTCCAGAGATTCTGCGGCTGAGCCACCGCTTGACTTTGCGTCATAGTGAGTTTCAGATACTATCCAGCAGATCGAATCGGTGACCCAGTTGTGCGCTCCTTGCGGCGGATCAGCGGTGAAGGCCCATTCAGGAAATACAGAGTGCACATCGCAGTGTCCCCCCAATAGTGAAGTCCCGATCGGCAGTCAGAGCACGGACTCGTAACACCTCGAATTTGCATCACACTTTGGAGCGCTCAGCCTTGTAGATGTCATTGTTCAAGAGGCTATTGGAGAGACGTGGAGAGAGAATTCGGGAGTGGCATAGAGATTGGCAAAAGGACTCCTCTCAACTGCAAGCCTTGTGCACTGTTAGAGTCCGCTGATGGCCGTCAGATGGCCGAGTGCTCTGGCAGGGACATACCTATCCCAGCGGAAGGGTCCGTTCCCTGGAAGCTCCTCTCAGTGTGTATGCTCTCTGCATGCAGGTTTGCTCTACTCCCAATGCGGATAAATCAAGTATACGGCGTTAAGGGCAATCTGCCACCACACGTCGATGTCAGCCTGGATGCATCGACGACGGCAACCAGGGCTTCGCCTCATAATCCTGTCTACATGGAATGCCGTATCAGCGATCTCACAGAGCTGGATGGCCCATTTGAAGGGGATGAGATGACCCCCAGTGTTTGTAAGGATAACAGTTAGAGATGTGAAAAGTGATAGAATAATAGCCTTATTGTGTGGGAAAGTCACGATATTATTCCTATGCCCGTCTTTGAGTATCTCACCTTATTCAGGCAAACGTGGCGGGCATTGTGTAGAAGGCATGAGGAGTCTGATGTGCTCAGCGTGTGAAAGTGGCTGGCACAGATCCAACTCTTATACTCAGTGTGAACGCTGCAACGACGAGGCCGCCCTTCACCGTTCTACTATTGCTCTGTGAGGATAGCGTTTTGTCTTTGCTCTAGTTTTCCGTAGCCAACTTTGATAGCGTTCTTCCCAGCAAGATCAACCGTTGACTGTTCAGGTACTTGTTATTCTATTCCTGTGCTATAATAGTGATTACTAAATTCACCGTTGATGCGGCGGCTTCGATTCGTCGACCCATTCACTCTGTCATTTGCAAAGTGGCCCTCAACTACTGGTTGGCTCTTTCTGTCCTCAATAGATTTGACATAACGCAAATCAAGATGTGAGCCGACCGTCAGATACGCCTACTGGCAGGTATTCTTCCTCCGAATACCCCTCCTTCTTTGCAGGTACGAATGGAATGTAGCTCTTGGCGAGGCTCTACGTAATGTATTCGTACCACAGTGGGTGGGTGCAGTAATGAAGACCATCGTCTTCTGGAAGGGTGAGCTGCCTTGGATCAGTGTTAAGGCAGCAATTATGTGTCTCATGCCTCATCAAAACGATAGGTAGCTCATTTGGCGAAGTACCTGTGAAAGGTACGTCCCCAGGTATATCTCTATCGGTGTATTCTATCTAGTTCTGCCCTTCTTGTTACTATCAGTTGTCACTGTACTATCTGCTCTAGGTTTAGCGATTCGTCGAGTATGCAAGGCAATGTTCAAGTAGCCAGCCAGATCATCGTGTCCTGTTATGACCTGTCCATGCAGGTTCAGTCGCAGTCTTGGCAAGTCGGGCCCTGGCCCTATCGGCTTTATGCGTCGTACCGCTCACATGTCGGTCGAAGCCTTCTCTCGGAACCTCAACAACGAGCCACGCCTTCTCTCTATATGGCGGGTCTTTGACGGCGCCACCATCGGCGTTGCACCACGGTTCATAAGCTTTATGCATGATATGATTCCTGTATATGTTACTACTTTGTATTTGATATGGAGCCCTGTTACCGATACCATGCTAGAGCTCCTGGAATGCGAAATTTTCGAGATTCCGATGGCTAGTGGAGCGAAGATGCTATCAAGGAGATGGGTTGTTGACCCGGACTTGGTTTGCTATTCGGGTATGCACACCTCCTTGACAGCTATAGCCGTAATCGGCCTGCTTGTATGGACGGTCGGTGCACCTGTCTTGGGTTTATACATACTCTATCGTGGTAGAGCTACGAGCCGGCTGAATGATGCGCAGTTCCTCAGAAGATACGGCTTTCTCTACCTTGGCTTTGAGGAGCATTGTTGGTATTGGGAAGCCCTCAAGAGGGCACAAGCTCTGGCTTATGGTGTGGTTTCTACATGGCCGTTGGGAGACGTTAAAGCCAGGCTTGTCATGTGAGACATCACTAGGTCGTAGGATCGAAGCCTCGTGGAGTTACTTTTGAAGGTACACTATGATTTCGGGCGTCTCGAGTATCGCACATGCTCTGATGGAGCCATTCGACGACCGTTCTAACCGTCTTCTAGACCGATTGGAGCTTCACTCTTTATTGATGATATTCGGAACCCAAATAGCTGTATGTCTATGATGCTGCATCTGGGTAGCGGCTAGGTTGTCATAGTCAGGTTCAAATTGTGATCACTTTCCCATTGCCACAAGGAGTCATCTCAGTCATTTTCATCATTGTAGTTCTCGCCAATATCGTCCACGTTCTGAGAATACTAGGCTATTTTACCATCGAGTAAGCACTGAACTCAACAGCATAATCAAACATTGTAGTCCCCACATACTCCTCCTCTCCAGATATTGCCTCCACATAGAATACGAGGTAACCGTGCGAGACCGTCGAGAGCTAGAGAGCAATCGCAAAGTACACAGAGAGATGATCCAAACTATGAGAACAGTTCAAGAAAGTACCAAACGACTAGTCTGCTTAATCACGTACTCATTGCAGGTAGAGAGTCTCCATATCGAGGAAGACTCGACCCTATACGGGTTCCCGTCCGAGTCTGGGTAGGACGGATAAAAACGGTTTGCCATGTGCCTTACCCCTATCACGCCCCTCAGTATAATCCATCAGCACTATCCTGTGCCTTGTGCGACGATTTAAGTCACTACAGTCGCGCCTTGCACTCGTGAAAATC